TTGGCCCAAGGTCACCCAGCTGACTTTGTGCCTAGGCAGGATTAGAGCTCACAGTCGCCCAGCTTCTAGCCTGATGCCTTAACCACTACACAAAAACCGGCTCTTGACCAAAACTTAGTGACAATTAAAATAATGTATTTTGTGGCTCCTTAATGACTACAAATTGATTACAAGATTATACAGTCTTACACAAAGAATTCCTCTTTAGGAAGTGGCAGGTGTTTGGGAGAATCTATTTCAAAGTCATCAGAAAACAGAATTTAGAGCTAACCTATCATTAAGAAACCAGTAGTATGTAAAACATAAAGTGGAAATGGTGAAGGAATTGATTCCTTTGTAATAATCCTGACTTGTTATACATTTTTCTAAAAATGAATAGATATGAATGTGAGCTGGGGCTGCGACTAAATGTGGAAAATGACATCACAGGACTGCAGAGACTAATTGATGAGCTCACACTAGTTAGGACTGATTTGGAGCAGCAAATTGAAGGTCTGAAAGAGGAACTGGCTTACCTCAAGAAAAATCATGAGGAGGTAAGGAAACATCACCCATTGAATCAAACTTATGAATTTTCCTACTGAACCAAATGTTTATTATGAACTACAGATCTGTAGAAGCCACAAATTTCTCTGTTGTAATAGACATTGCAGAACTAAGCCAGGAAAAAAGAAAAAGCACACACAGACACAGAGCTATGTTAACCAGAATCACCAGAAAGCACCATTCCATGCATGAGGACTATCAGATCTGAGCTGCAAAAATCGAGATGATCAAATCCAGATGACAGCAGAATGATATAAAAACTTTGCTATGAGCTAGTTGGTGTCTGAATTTTTGCAGCCCAAACTAGCCTAATATACTAGCCTGGCCCAATGGATGAAGAAGGGTTGTAGATGCAGATAGGAACCGCTAGCTTTTATAGGCCACAGACAGGAAAACATATTGGAATAAAAAACAGTATTTAGCCATCAGAAATAATATTCTCTCACAATAATGGGGAACTTTGATTCAGACTAGGTGACCTTTGAGTTTCCTCAGCCTGCTCTTCATAGACTAACTCTAGATGGACCAACTTTAGATTTCAAAGCCTTGCCTCTCTTTTTACATGGTTCTTCATCTTGGACTGGACATCCCTTCAAATAAAGCATATACAGGACTGAATGCCCTTCAAAAAAGGACTGTCCTCCTTAAAATTGGGATACCTTATAACAGGATTAACTTCCTTGTGTTTCTGAGAAGTCCTCAATTTTCATCTTCCTCCAGCCAGCATGGCTAATGACCTAGGATGTGAGAGTTAAGGTTCCAACATCTGGAAGGGAGCAGGTTCTGAAATCTGCTTTACATTCATAATTCAATTATATTGCCTCTATTTCTTCTCTTCTTTGCTTATTTCATTATTTCTTTTAACCAAGCTGTTGAGATTAAGAAGGAATCTAAGGTTTATATCAATCCCAGTTTCTTTAGGAATTCTATGTGATGGCTGAATTGCCACAAATCAAAGGCATACTTATTTGATTAATAGGCTAAATTTACAGCCCAGGACATTTTAATGGAATATAGGAACTGATAAGAATGTATTTCTTGAATTGACAATAGACTTAATTAATCATTATTGTTAACATTTACAGGAAACAGGAAGATTAAACCGACAGCTAAGCGGGAATGTGTCTGTAGAGGTAGATGCTGCTCCAGGCGTTGATCTGGCCCAGCTGATGGAAAACATGCGCCAGCAATATGAAGTCATGGCTGAAAAGAACCGTCAAGAGGCTAAGAATCGGTTTGATAAACTGGTGATGTTTGTTATTATATTACTTTACAAACTGCAAAAACTATATTACAATTTTGTTTGTGTTTCTTCCTGCAACACTGTAAAAGAAGCCGTTAACTGTTCTACTCCACAAACTGGAAATTCAAGCTAAGAACCCCTGAAGCCTTATTAGGCACATTGGCCCCACACAGAAAAATGCAGACCAGCTTCTTTATTTGGACCAACACATTTGAAATTCAGATACAATATTTTTTATTTATACAGCATTTTTCTTCAGGTTTAAGGAATGAGTGGAGGAGCAAAAATATGTCTGTGATCATAGCATTTGCTTGTATCCATAGATATATTTCAGAATAAGGTTAGAATAGTGATGTTAAAACTAGAGGCATTTGAAATATTTGAATTTTGTGAATTCTGAGGTAAACTAACAATCTAATACTAGAATAGCCCCTTTCAGTTCTTATAAGTGATAGTAATAATAGTAGCAGCTGCAATATTTATTAAATTTATATGCCCCTAGCTCCTACTGTACTTACAGTGGTGTACACACAGATTTTGTGTGCAGATATAGTCAAGGTATATTTCAGATTATATTTAATCAGGAGCATCTTTCTAAATCAATTGAAGTATTTTAAATCTATAATTTAATCAATCAGCTTAACCTTTTATACTGTATTACAATATCATTCACCTCTTATTCCCTAGATTTTAAAAAAAATTTCTTTGCACTTCAGATTGAACAATTGAACGTGGAAGTCACCACAACTACCCATCAACTTGAAACACACAGAAGTGAGATTACAGACCGGAAGCGTATACTCCAAGGCCTGGAGATTGAACTCCAATCTCAACTGAGCTGGGTAAAACCTGATAATTAAAGTACACAAGATTGCAGATCCTTTTGCTGGTTGTTACACTTGACCTCTGAATTTAATGTAAAGTGTAATTTAAAACAATATATTTCTCCCCAGGTAGCTAATTATAACTTTTATATTTATTCAATGGTAATTTTTGGAAAGCATAGAACTACTGGGAAGTCTGTAAGCTGTGTGCCCCTTGTATTAAAAAATGTATTTGATTCATTATGTAATAATTTAGGGCAGACCACAGATTTCTGAAGCTTTCTACAAAGGTAGGTTCCCCCAGTGTTTACTTGATTTGAAGTTAGCTGGTAAAACAGCAAGCAAGTTAAAAACTGTTATTAGATTATTCAGTAGTTTCAGAGAATCAGGGATTATATACTAAGGCAACCAGATTTAGCGATATGCTGATATTAGTAAGATTGAATAAAGCCTATTAGACTGAGAGTAATGCTGCTTGTACTGATCAAAGAAACAGAGTCCAACACTTTTACTGCCACTCATTTTAAAATGAGTAGCATTGTTAAATCTACCTTGATCATGGATAGTTGCTGAGCAGGTAGGAGGAAGCAACTTCTAATGAAGCTTTTCACAAATTGACATCTTTCAGTCTGGAGGCCAAATTCTAGCTTGCACCAGTACCTGTCCATTAACCCAACTATACATCTGATACCTTCCTCTAGAAAACTGAACAAGAGAATGCGGTGGCAGAAACTGAAGCTCGTTACAAGACAATATTGATTCAAATTCAAATGGCCATTGGAAATCTTGAGGCACAACTAACGCAGCTGCGGAATGACATGGAGCAACAAAGTATGGAATACTGCAGCCTCTTGGACGTTAAAGTCAAGCTAGAAGCAGAGATTGCCACTTATCGCCGTCTACTGGAAGGGGAGGATTGGAGGTAAATAATTCAGTTCAAAGAAGCTTAAGTGGGAAAGTTAGCAGATGGCCATTATCCAGGGAAAAGGATGCTACAAACAGAATGGGGAAAGCTGGTTTCCAACAAGGTAGTCCAAAGACATTTATGTAATGGTATGTGGGAATTACCCTGTGAGACTGGGTGAAGAGTTGCTGCCTAGGGAACGGGCAGATAAGAGGGAACACAGCCCACGGCTGCATAGTGGGCAGAGCAAGAGGCTCAGGAGGGACCCTCCCTAGGTTCTCAGGCTGTAAAGGTGATGATGGGAGAGTTGTACTTTCAGACTTGCAAGATTCTGTTAATGTAGCTTTACAATAAAATAGAATTAGTTTATCT